GTGTAAAGAAAATACTTGTGAACTTACCGTTATTCTAAAATTAGAGCTGAGCCTGAGCGGTAGTTTAGCATGCAGAAAAGAGAAAGGCAATCCTCAATATTTAACATGGGGTGGCAGCTGGGGAGCAGCAGGAGAGTGAGAGGAAATCATTGCATTTACACAGAAGAATTCTGGGCTGCGTGCAGCAGCAGGGACTGCGGTCCCAGCGCGATGCGAGGACAAATCTCAGCGGGAGCAGGTAATTGGGGAGGAACATTGGCTGTGCGTGGCAGCGCCTCCCCAGCCTCCCCTTGCTGCTGGGACAAAGCCCCTGCCCCAGGCGCAGGGAGCTGCTCTCTCCGGCTACGCCGCGTCCCGGCTGGCTGCGGCATCAGGCCTTCAGGGTACACGCGCAATTACTTGATTAACAACCTGAATAACTCACCTTCAGACATGAAATATTCTCTGTTGCTTTCAGTTGTCATAGCTAAAGGTTGAGCTTTGGCTGAGCTGGCCGCGGTGGTTAGATGGGGAAATGCTGGTTGAAACTCCAATGGCTTGTGATTTCCTTCTCAGTTTAAAATTTGTTCATCTAGTTGCTTTAAACCTTTTTTTTTTTAAAGCAACTGGTGTCATCTGTTTGAATTGAATGTGTAACTGGAGAATAATGAAAAATTAATTCAACTGAAATTGGAGATGAAATGTCATCTTGCAATGTTTTCACCTACAGCTAAAAAACTGTACCATGAGATTCCACATATAGGTATGTCTGTCACAGGCAGATGTTTTCTGTGGTTGTGTGCTGTGGGTCTGTGTAGGAACACGGTGTGGACACTGACTCTGCTCTCAAGAGCTTGCATGAAAACTTTTGTATCACGCCTGTTGTCATCTCAGCTTGAACAGAGGAGCCTCCCTTTTCCTAAATGATAGACAAAGTCCCACAGTGACACAGATTTTTTAAATTTTTTTTTTTTTAAACTCAGTTATCAGAGTGGAGAGGTTGTTTCTGCTCATGTTGGAACACTCTCTGTGGCTTCTCACCTTCCCTTGCCACGTGAATTCAGTTCTCATGGCACCCCCAAATGTGAGGAGCCTCCTCAGCTTGCTGCTTCTGTGGCAGAGGAGCATCCCCAGCCCTGACAGGGTGGTGTCCTCCCAAGTTGTCTCTTTGCTGCCGGCTCCTGGGGGTGTGTGGATAACACCTGATGCGGAGACGGCTGCGGTTGGCAGGATCAGGGATCTCGGACTGGTTCTGCTCAGGTCTTTTATTGCACAACACAGCCTTGTTTGGATTAATTGCTTTCACAGAAGTGACTGCCCTGAGCATCCGCCAGAATGCTTTCTGTGCAATTAAATCATTAGCGGTGCTTTTCAACCTAAGCTGTCTACAAGACAAAAATGTAGAGAAACCACTCTTTAAGTGGAGCAGAAATGAACTAGAATCACAGAAGGGTTTGGGTGGGAAGGGACCTTAAAGCCCCCCCAGTGCCACCCCCTGCCCTGGGCAGGGACACCTCCCACCAGCCCAGGTGGCTCCAAGCCCCCTCCAACCTGCCCTTGAACCCCTCCAGGGATGGGGCAGCCACAGCTTCTCTGGCCAACCTGGGCCAGGCTCTCACCACCCTCAGTGTAAAACGCATCTTTCTAAATGTTCTCTTTTTTAATTTAAAGCCATTTCCCTTGTCCTGTCGCGACAGGCCCTGCTAAATGCTCTGTCCCCACCTTTCTCATGAGCCCCCCTCAAACCTGGGCTGTGGGTCCCGGCTCCCTGGTAGCCCACGGGCAGAGCCCACCCCAGCTCCTCCTCACGCCCGGGCTCTTACACATGCAACGTGCAAGGCCTTGTCCTGCTGGTTCTTGCTTTCTGCTACGGATCTTGTGCACTTATTAGTTAATTACCTTAAGCATATATTTGGATACGCACGTTTCCAAGAATTAACAGAGCGTAATCACTAAAATCCTAGATTAGATAATGATTAGATTAGATTTAGTGAACAAATTACTGGCTGCAGTTCATTGGGTGCATCTCGAAGTGCTCTGCTTGGACCTTCCTCAGTCCTCAGGACTCAAGATAACCTGATAGATTTTTTAAATTGAATTTGGCATATTAATAACTGAGACTAAAGGAAGATTCAAAGCCTTGTTATCTCTGTCTTGTGCCTCTTTGAAAAATTTGTCTCATTTAAGCAGAGAGACTGAAATGAGACTGGTGATGAGCTGCGTGTTCCTCGTGCAGCGATGGCAGCGGGTGCCTGGGGCAGGGGCTGGTGAAGGTGCCTCAGTTCGTAGGCGCAGCCTGAATTCTATCACTCTGCAAGGGCCAAGTGTGTGGTCTCCAAATAATTCAAAATAACCATCAATAAGCAAGAGATTTTATAGAAATGATGGTAGGAAAACAGTACCTGAAAGCCAGTGATAACAAAAGAAATTAAAGCAATGGTGTTTGCACAGGAGATAAGTGGTAGTGCTTAAAGACTGTAACTTCACTGGGGTCTCCTCTCTGGCTTCCCTCTGCCTTCGGCTGGAGGTGGCCCCAGCTAAACAGCTGGGCCATGAGCACTGGGGAGCTGCACCGTGGGTGGTTTTGTTGTTGTTGGGGAGGAGGAGAAGGGCTCTTCTGCCCTAGGAGCTCACCCATGGTCTCCTGGTCTTCGTATCCCTCGGTGTGTGGTGGGTGTGTGAGTCAGAACCCCCATCCCACTTCAATGGAAGAGCAGACTGTGCTTCCACTGTTGACGCCCAGCACTTCTGAACCACAGCCACGTCCCTGTCGACTCACTGAGGTGTTGGAGAACCTTCCCCGGCACCCCATCAGCAGCGTATCCATCCTTCAGTTGTGACAAATGGTGGCGTTTTCCACCGTCTCTTGGGCTGAGTCTGGCATTGCTCTCGCCTGGTGTGAGAAGGGTTGTAGACCCTCCACCAAGCTCTTGTCTGCACAGCTATCGCTGAGCTGCAGAGATGTTTCCACTGCTTTTGCTCGATGGTGCTGGTCGCATGGACATTCCCGTGTAATAGGGATGTTGTTACTATGGTAATTACCCTCGTGCTTAAAATATATCCCTTATGTTCTAGCTGTGAAGCATCGCACCTGCCCTCTGCTGAAGTTTGATGTTGGGCAATGTATGCATGAAGCTGTTTTATTCCTTGTACCATTGACTTTGCCAAGATCAGGGTGTGTGAGTGTGTGTGAAATTTCTTAGAGATTACTTCCTGTTTTCCTACAGATTGTTGTTAAAAATGATTGACAGTTTTGAGCAGGCAATGGGTCCTCAGAAGACCCAGCTGCAATGTTCTCATTTACTGCTGGTTCCTCTTATTGGTGAACCCACCTTTCATCCTCTTGACAACAGCCTTCAGTAATCTTCCTTTTTTTAATATTGGTGGCTTGTAGCACAAAACCCAGAGAGTTTTCACAAAGCTATGGGACCTTCTCTGTCCTCTACCTGTCTTCTTTAAAAATTTGGCTAATAGCAATGCTCTCAAATTAATATTCGTAATCTTTTTTAGTTGTATTTCAAACCATTTTATTATTCTCATTTAAATAGTTATTTCTGCTAAATTGAGAGATTTTCATTTATGTGCAAATTAGGTACCTTTCTAAAAAATACACAACTGTATTTCTAGCTGATGGCATCTTGTTTCACACAGTGTCACAGTTCAGCATTGCTGCTTGGTGGTATGGAGGGTTTGGGTGGAAAAACTTAGGGATTTGTTTGAGAAAGAAGGTGCACTTTTTTTTTTTAATACTGCACTCTAAAGAAAACAAATTTATTTAATTTAGTTAATAATCAAAATGTTCGGGAAAACATTTTGTCTCTTAAGGAGGTTTTACTCATTTTCTATCAGAGGACATTTTTTTTCCCCTCTTTGTGCTCTCACATCAGCCTGTGGGCAGGTGACCATGGTCCTCTGCAGCTCAGGTCGGGGTGGGACAGAGCCCCCCACCCTGTGTCACTGCATGGCCCCTGCTCAAGGAAGGGTCCTTCCTTCATGTGTGTCCACCTTCACGTGTGTCGGCATGGGACCATGCTGGGGTCCTGCAGGGGCTAGGGTCAAGTTGTACTTCTGGAGAGCTGAGGTGGATGCTGAAATCAGTCCCTGAGGGAAGGGTGCAGAGGTTGGAAGAGGAAGAACCTTTCCACATTTTGGAGCTCCACATGCCAGCAGAGAGCAGCAGATGGGTATCGGGGTTCTCTTCCCACCTGAAAAACAGCAGAGGGGTGGCAGGGGCTGGTGGGGTTGCATTTGGTGTTGGGGGGCTGTTGGAAGGGATTTCCGTAGTTCTTCTGTTGGCTGCTCAAATGATGTCCCTAAGGGGAGTCAGTCCTGCGCCCCCGGCACTCCTGGGAGTCAGGACTGCTCCTGGTGGGAGCTGTTGAGTTTGTGCAGGGCTGAGCTGGGCTCCTCAGAGGTGAGGGGGGGGTCACAGAAATGCAGGGGGGCTGTATTTCGCGTTTGAAGCTTGCTGATGGTGAGGGGGGGCAGTGGGGACCGGCTGCGGGACAGCCCGTGCCCCGGGGAGCTCAGGGCAGCTCCCTGGGTGCTGGGGGCTCTGGGGTGCATAGCTGAGCCTCTCCCCCACAACAGCAGCCCCTTCTCTGTGCCTGGCTGTGGGGAGAAACTAAACAAAGATGCCAATTTTCACCCCCTTCTTCTCCCCTTCGTATAAATGGTCTGTCCAGGTTTGTGCTTCCCTGCAGGGTAGGACTCAGCAGCAGCGTTCCTGCTGTTCCTTCAACTGCCTGCACTTTCCTGCCCCGCTCCTCTGCGGGGCTCGCACCCAGGAGAACCCATGGGCATCTGGTCGCCCACACGGCGTTTGGGGGAAGGGCCAGAGTCTGAGCGGGGCTGGGAGCGGACATGGGGTTTGGTGCAGCTCCCTCCAGGTGGGGAGCGGGGAGCACCCTGCGGTGCTGGAGACTGGCTGGGAGCCGTGGCCGAGTGAGAGGCTGGGGGTGCCTGTGGATGGGGTGGGTGTCCCCCTGGTCCTCACCCATCTGCCTCCTGGGGCTCTGCAGAGTGTCCCCTGACGGCGGCCGCCCAGCTGGAGCTCAGCGCCGACATGATCAAGGCGCTGCGCAACGGGGGAGCGCACCTGGATTTCCGGACGCGGGAGGGAATGACCGCTCTGCACAAGGCCGTACGGTGCCGCAACCACGCGGCGCTGCTGGTGAGTCGGGGGCTCTCCCTCCCCTCTGCCCTGCGCCCCAGCTCTCTCCCGCCCCGTCCCAGCTGACGGCAGGGTTGGAATCACAGAAGGATTTGGGTGGGAAGGGACCTTAAAGCCTCCCCAGTGCCACCCCCTGCCCTGGGCAGGGACACCTCCCACCACACCAGGTTGCTCCAAGCCCCCTCCAACCTGCCCTTGAACCCCTCCAGGGATGGGGCAGCCACAGCTTCTCTTGGCAACCTGGGCCAGGCTCTCACCACCCTCCCACCAAACAAGTTCTTCCCCACAGCTCAGCTCCATCTCCCCTCTTTCAGGGTCAAACCCTTCCCCCTCCTCCTAGGGCTCCCCTCCCTCATCCAGAGTCCCTCCCCAGCTTTCCTGGAGCCCCCCCCCTTGAGGGACTGGAAGGGGCTCCAAGGTCTCCCCAGAACATTCTCTTCTCCAGGCTGAACCCCCCCAACTCTCTCAGCCCCCCCTCCCAGCAGAGGGGCTCCAGCCCTCCCAGCATCTCCATGGCCTCCTCTGGCCATGTGGTTCTCTCCTCCCTGGGCCAAAGCATCTTGTGTGTTGCTCTCAGGGGCACAGCCCATTATAAGAGCATGGCACTGATAACGTGAGCCCTGGGGGGAAGATGGGGTGGGCACTGCCTGCTGCCGTGGCCGCAGAGTCCCCAGACCCTTGGTGGGGCAGGTTTTCCTCCTGTGGAGCTACTCAAAGCTGCAGAGTGAGGCAGGCGCTTCTCTTGCAGACGCTGCTGGACCTGGGTGCCTCCCCGGACTACAAGGACAGCCGGGGGCTGACACCCCTGTACCACAGTGCCATGGTGGGGGGGGATCCCTACTGCTGCGAGCTCCTGCTGCACGACTACGCCCGGCTTGGCTGCGTGGATGAGAACGGCTGGCAGGAGATCCACCAGGTGGGATGGACGGCGGGATGGGATGTGGCTGGGGTGACCTCTGTCCTGCGGCCGGTGGAGAGGCTCGTCCCATCCCCTGGGGTGCTGCAGGCGGTGGAGGTCCTGCTCAGCAGGGGTGGCCAGCACAGGGGCCAGGCTCTGGTGTGTAGGACTCACACATGGTCCAGGAGCAGCTCTGGCTCCATCCTGGGCCAACGCTCAGGCTGTTCTGCTCAGTCAGTGGTGCCTGGGATCCTCCCCAGATTGCATCTAGCTTGTAGGATCTCAGTCCAACGCCCAAAGCACAGTTGTACATGTCCCCGTTTTACACACTAAGTGGATTTTGCATGGGGAAGACATGGGCCTGGGGTTAGGGGATGTGAGCTGCTTCAAGACTGAGAAACTCTGGGAGAAGGAGGATGCTCTGGCTCTGCCCCAGTCTTGGGCCATCGGGAGGACAGGTTGTCTTTGGGCCCGTGGCCTCCTGAAACAACCCAGCTCTCAGTGCCCTGGTGGAGAAGTACTGGTACAGCCAGAGAATGAAAAAACAAGAGATGTGTGTCTGTGATCTCGATTCAGTGTATATGACTATCCCCCTTCCCCATCCTACCTTCCCTTGGCAGGTCTTTGAGGGCTGCTGGTCCCAGGATGGACCAAACAGAGAGGGAAATACCACAGCAGTTAACTAGGGATGTAGATCCATTGCCCTCCTCCTTGCCTGCTTGTGCTTCAGGGCTTCTTTTCAGCAAATTATTACACTGAGAGAACAAACAGTCTGGAGGAGGCCCTGGTACCACCATGATGTGGATCCCAAATTTGCAATTGATGTAGAGGTATTTTCTCCAGTAAGTATTGGGTTGTATATTGCTCTGAGGAGCAGCAGTGTGTGTGCGTGCATGTTAATGGGACTTTTCAGTTACAGGTCCAGCCTGATTCAGCTTTTCTAGCATGAGGATTTTAAGGGATTTATCATCTTCCTACTGCTCCTTGATTTTCTATTTCATTTTTCCTTTTTGGGTTTTGAGCAGGCATGTCGCTATGGCCATGTTCAGCACCTGGAGCACCTTCTCTTCTACGGAGCTGATATGACTGCACAGAATGCCTCAGGAAACACCGCTCTTCACATCTGTGCTCTCTACAACCAGGTACATCCGTGGTTTGGGGCACGAGAACAAGGTGTAGGTGAGGCACCAGCCTGCCTGAGACAGAGCCCGACATTGGGCTGGGACACCTTCTCATGGCTACAGCTGTGCCCAGACCCAGAAAGGTTCTTCTGAAGTGAATCCACACTCTGGCCTGGGATAAGGCTGATCCTGTTTGTAGCACCAGCCTGATTTTGGATTTCCCAAGAGGCAGGATCAGAGAAGAGTCCATGGTTTAATCTGTTCCCCTTCCCAAGAGGTTTTTGCTGATTTACTGCCTGAAGTGCTGTAATTTCTCCTCTAGTTCCTGTTCTTCCTTCGCAGCCAGCCTGGCTCCTGACTGGGAGGGAGCGGTTTGCCTGGGTGGAGAGTTGCTAATTGGGCCCAGGTGATCACATTTAAATTGAGGCAGCACCTGGGGTGTGTTTATGAAGGGACACTTCCTGTGGCTTTCACTCTGCTTTGGGGAAGGTGTGGGCACTGGGGTCCTGCCCTTCTCACAGATGTCCCTGAATTCTTACTGCTGATCTCTGAATTTTGGAGAAGACTGTCCAGGCAACACAGGGCACTGTTTCTGCTTTATCTACTGTGTGGCCACTAACCTCAGTTCAGGAGGAATGGAGGTGGTGGAAGAGCCCTCTCTGATCTTGCACACCCCCTGTTCTCTTTCTGAGAAGTGCAGGTCAGTATCTAAGGATTTCTTATATAGGTTTTGCTCCTTTCTGGAGTTTTTTATGCATTGTATTATGTGGCTTTTGATTATAAAGGGAATTTTCAGTTTGAGGTGTCCATGCTTTAAAAATGTGGACGGGGTACATGGAGGGTGATGTGTGGCCTCTTGGGTTCTCCCAGGTGCGTTCTGCACATCAGGGGCTCCTGTACCTGGGGTCTGTCCCTGGGGCGGATGGGCAGAGTGGCATTAAAGAGCACAGGGGCTCATAAACACGTTGAATTGACATCATTCAGAAGCATGGAACGTTTGAAACAAAACTGATGAAAGGCTTTAGGAAACAGCAATACCGGGGAACGTGTGGTGGCGGCTGTGCCCGCAGCTGTGCTCCCGGGCTGGCGTTGGGGCATGGCCATGGTGCCCCAGGGCCACATGCAGGTGGGTGGACTTGGTCAGCGCAGGGGTGGGCAGTTCATAGGGGCTGAGCATCCTTCCTCACTCGCTCTTGCCAAAGGAGGCTTTCTGAGAGTGATCAAACCATGTGCTTTGTTTCTTCATTGTCAGGTCTGCAGTGCTAACTGGTCTCTTCCCTTTCCCCCCCTGGTTTGCCTTCGCAGGAGAGCTGCGCTCGGGTTCTCCTCTTCCGTGGGGCGAGCAAAGACATTCGCAACTACAACAGCCAGACAGCATTCCAGGTGAGGCAGCGACCGCCGGGCCCTGTCCCCCCGCAGAGCCTCTCGTGGCCCCTGGCACGGGCAGCCCATGCCACGAGTCCTGGGCACGTGGTGGGTAAAGCTCACGGCAACAAACCCATCGGTTCAGGGTGTCTGATCTGGCACCAGCTTAATTGTAGGGGCCGGAGGGAGGGGAGAGAATGTGTGGTGCACATGGAAAGGGCTGTGAAGGTGGTATCTTATGGTGGGAGACTGCAAGAGCTTGGCTTGTTGGGTCATGCGTGACATCCATGGGAAGGAGAGGTTATTGCTGTCTGTAGAAATGTCGCAGTAAATGCTAGAGAAGGAGTGGAGTCCTTAGAAATAAAGGACAATGATGCCACAGAAATCAATGCACCTAAACTCGTTAATCAACTTAAACTGGAAGTTAGAAGACCCTCCAGCTAGAAGAGAAGCGAGACTCTGGAACAGCTTTCCAGTAAATACGTGGGGTAAGGCAGGTGGAGAAGGGAAACTCGGTCATTTTGCAGTGCGGCTCCTTCCCTAAGTTTGCAGCTGGCGGGCAGTGACTGCAGGCTGTGGTGTGGGGTGCAGGAGGGCTCTTCCCACCCAAGGTCTGCTTTGCTCCTCTTCTTTAAAGCTTTTGAGCTGGGAATAGCCATTCTGTTCTGTCTGTGCTCTTACCAAAGTGCAGTCATTTGCCTGAGGAGCTTTCAGAACTGTGACTCTGTGTCCGGCTGATGCTGATCTTCAGGTGTCCCTTGAGAGCAGAGAGCGTCTGTCGGCGTCTTGCTCATATGCCAGCTCGGGTGGCTGCAGATGAGCTCACTAATTATTAGTCCTTTAGGTATGGCTCTTCTCACTTCTCCTCAGTGTTGTTCATAGTGGCTTTAGGTCGGACAGTCCCTGTGGCCATCGCATGTGGCCCCTGTGAGAGAGAGAAGCTCTGTTACAGATGCGATCGGCGCCGTTGGAGCGGCAGCGTGTCCGGGGGGATGTGGGCAGGGAATGGCTGGGCAGATGCTCTGCAGACAGGACATTGGCCACACTGGGCTGTGCTGCACCAGCCTTCCTCTGTGCAGGAGAGGTGGGCACAGCCAGTGACCCTCGTGTGTCCCGAGGGACCAACTCCACTGAAAAGGCACCAAATCCCTGTGCGGCCCACGCCAGGAGCACGCGGGGAAGCTGGAGAACATCTGACCCAACCGGACCGCTTGCTGGCCATGGTCTCCCTAAACCCCCTGCTGCAGTGGTGCTCTCTTCTGCATGAGCATATTTCATTCAAGTGTTAAGTAGGTTTTAATTCAGATTAAGCGTATTGTCCTTAAAAGAGTGCATGGAACTCGTGTGTGTGCTCACCATGGTTGTACACAGGGATCAGGCAGCCATTTGGAAATAATCACTTGTGAATCACCTGTGTGCACGGTGTGAGGAACTGAAAACACTCAGGTAGTTTCAGGAAATGAATTTGTAGCTTAATCTTGTTTAAAAGTACTTTCTTTATTAAGGCTGAGATGATGTTGCTTTCCAGCTGTGCTTTGTTTTGGCTTGGAGGCTGAGGAGAAAAATGGGCCTTGAAGGTCAAACTGAGCATCCTTAAAGGCAGTCTGGTGCTTTGTCACGTGCAGGAACTTGACATTTACACCACCCAGTTAATTCTCCTGTTAAGTGATGGTTGTCTGGTCATATCTGGAAGCGTCATTTGTGTGATGAAGTGTGGGTGTCTCCCTGGAGAGAAGGGGAGACTTGTCCTCCCCTCCATGGTGGCCTGGGGACCATGATGGGACTGGCTCTGGCAGGGTTCTCAGGAGCATGGGTGCCACCACAGCTTTGCTCTGAGTGATGCTATGACCTTGCCAAGCACAGGGGATGCTGGAGGATGCCTGAGCTCAGCCCTTGGTGGGCAGCGCTGTTCTCTGCAAATCCACTGTGGCTCAGACCCTCCTCTGTCTGCCCCGTGATATCTCCTGCCTCGTGAGGTGGGTTGTGAAAGGGCTTCATGAGGCAATGTCTGTCCTGCTTGGAGACTGCTGCCCTCTGTGGAGCTTTGCTCTGGGTGTTGAGGGCAGTCCCACCTGGCTGCTCTCGGATTTAATATTAGAATGTTTATTTCCAGGAAAGGCCTTTTTGCAGGAAACTGCTGACTCCTTTTTGAGATGAGCTGAACTTTTGGAATCAAGAGATGGAGAAAGGGCAGTCTTTGTGCTTTGGGCGTTTTTGGGTGGTGGAGGGAGGCAAACGGCTCCTGCTCGTGTCCTGCAGAGCCTTAGTGGGTCTCAATGAGGGAAAAACAGTGTTTGTCTTTCCCATCTTGATGTAGTGCGAGCAATTGGAAACTTCTGTTCCAGAGACTGAAAAGTGGTTGGTGACCCAATGGGTTTGTGTACTGGCAAATCTAAACCAGAATTTGATGTTGGTGATGTTCTGCCTTCAGTTCCCAGCTTTCAAAGAGGAACTCTCCGACTCCCAGCTCGGGTCTCTTGCTCCAGACTCCAGCAAGTCATTAAGTTGGTGTCCCCTGAAAAGTCTGGTGCTTTCTCCCGTGTCTCCTTCTCCCGGCCGTGGTGATGGGGTGCTGCCTTCCTGCAGCAGAGTCCCACCTGGCAGAGAGAGCAGAGCCGGGACGAGGGGTGACACCCCAGCCCTTCTGTGGCCCCTGGCAGCTCCTGTAAGTACCTCTGCTGCTGCACGGCTGTTTAGTCAGGTTACTGCACATACCTCCTGTTAATTTGATTGCTGCAGTTAATCAGATAGCTTGGTGCCAGTGGCCTGAGATGACTCTGGAGATAGCAGGGAGTAATTTAGCAGGTTGAGAAGCTGTAATCTGCTTGGTTATCTTCCCTGAGGCAGATCAGGGTGCTCATGGCCTGGGGTGATGTTCTACCTCCCGCTGTATGGAGTTCCTCCTGCTGCAAAGGGGGCATGTTCCTTGAGGTGGTGGGGCAGGAGGCCTGGAGCAGCATCACCTCTTTGTGGCTGCTAACAGGTTTCAGGGGGGAGAGGAAGAGCAGGGCAGGTTTAGGGCGAGAGTTTTCCCAGAGTATCTTCCCAGCTTCTGGCAATCTGACCTTTGTTTTCCCAAGCCAGGTTTGTACCTACATCTGTCTTCAGATGTCTTCTTAGCTGGCTTTTCATCCATAAATTGTCTAAGAGAGTCCCCTGTGCAGGTGCAGTCCTCCCCAAAGCTCCCCTGCCTCATCCAAATACGTTCTCACAGAAGGATGAAGACATCATTTTTCAGGTTATATATTGCATACTCAAAATTTACTGGATGAAAATAAAGTTGTTTTTTTTTTTTTTTCTTTTTTTCCCCCTTCCAGCTGCTTTAGCAGTATCCTTGAGCAGAAACAAAGTGCTGCCAAAGCACTCATCATCTCTCAAACCTCCCATGTGCCTTGAGGTGGTCACTGATGGGACTTGGGGGTGTTGGCCACTGGAGCAGGTGGTGGGTTGTGAGCCTGTGATGGGAAGGTCAGAGACTCAAGCCAGGACCATGAACACCAGCAGTTGCTGCTGTGGATGTGGTGAACCCACCATCCTCTTTAAACAACAGGAAGGTACCCAGCAGAGGGCTGGAACATGTGGAGAGGCCCATGAGAAGGCAGTTGTGCAAAGACTGTGAGTGGTGGCTGAGTCAGTTAGTGGTGTCCTCCCTCCCACCCTGGAGAGCCACCAAGCTGGTGAGGGGCCTGGAGAACAAGTCCTATGAGGAGAGGCTGAGGGAACTGGGCATGTTTAGTTTGGAGAAGAGGAGGCTGAGGGGAGACCTCATTGCCCTCTACAGCTCCCTGAAAGGAGGGTGTAGAGAGGCAGGGGTTGGCCTCTTCTCCCAAAGGACGAACGACAAGACCAGAGGAAATGGTCTGAAGTTGGGGCAGGGGAGATTTAGATTAGATATTAGAAAGAATGATTTTCCTGAGAGGGTGGTCAGGCCCTGGAACAGCCTGCCCAGGGAGGTGGTGGAGTCACCATCCCGGGAGGGATTTAAGAAGCGTGTAGACAAGGCTCTTCAGGGCATGCTCTAGTGCCCAAGGTTATTGGTTTATGGTGAGGTGTTGAGTGTGGGGGTTAGTTGGTGGGTGCGGGGTTTTTGGTGGGCGTTTGGTGTGGTGGATTTTGTATTTGTTTGGTTGGGGTTTTGGTTTGTTTTTTTTTTTTTGTGGTTGGACTCGATTATCTCAGAGGTCCCTTCCAACCACTAAGATTCTGTGATCCCAGGGAGCTGAAATCCTGTATCCATAAGTTTAAGTTAGGATGGAAATGTTTGGCAATGTTCTGTCCCTTAGGAGGGTGAAGACTTGTCTATAAGTCTTGTCCTTTAAGAGGTGCGTTTTTATGTTGTGATAAGGTTACCCACGCTCACTACTTCAGTCTTGCTCTTGCATGGGACTATTGACAGCTCAGAGTCCCCCAGGTCAGCTTGTCTACGCTTTCTTGTGGTGTTCACGAAAGTATGAAGTGCTCACTTCTGTTCAGCTGCGGTGCTTTGGGTTTCTCTTTTCCTTTCCTCAATGTCAGGTTGACAGAGTGATGGCAGAAGAGAAGACCTTTCAAATTCTGTGAATGACCATGTCCCTCCCTGAGCATGCAAATCACACAATTTGACTTGGAAATGAAATAATTTACCTTTGCAAGCTGAACTTCATCAGAATGATGATCCACACCTGGTGGTGCAGACAGACTATATGAAACAGCCTTCCTGTGTCACACTGGGGTTTGACATCCAGCAGATGAGAAGTGGTTTTATGGGGTCTTCCTTAACAAGGGTGTGAGAGGGAAGGAGATACCCTCTGCTCTTGCCAAAGTCACTGTCCCCATGGCTCTAATCCAGCTTGCTATCTGCCAAGACCTCCAGGACCTTTTCTGCTGCACCGCTTCCCAGTTTGTGTCACTGCCAAAGTGGCTTCTCTCCCAGACACAGGACTTTGCATTTGTCCTTGTTCAGTTTCATGGGGGTCCTCCTGACCTGTTCCTCCAGCCTGTCCAGGTCCATCTGGGTGGCAGCCCTGCCCTTGTGGATA